TCTAAACAAAAAGTTTGTTTACGTATTGCCATAAATGTCAAAGTCGGCAAAACCAAAGTAGCGGTTTTGGGAATGCGCCACCTTCAGTTCATTTCACCAAGGGTAGAAGCCAAATTGACATCAAACCTACAAAAGTCAAAGTTTTCGGGAGAGTAAAAATAAAAATGAGCGTGTGTAAGGAAAAAGAAAAAATTACATTTCGCTGGTTGACGTTTTTGAGTAAATTTGAAGTTTTGTTTCTATTTATTGATTTTTCTTTAGTTAAAATTTGTTAATTTGTATGTTGTTTTATGTTTTTAATTTATGAGTTGCAGTGTTGTTGGAGGGACTTTCCGGCATAAGGGTCATAGGAACAGCACTTGGCATCAAACGTGCCTTTCCTGTACCTCCCGGTGCATTTATGAAATCTGCTGTTTTAAAATGTTTAACGCACAGCAAGGCATTTCGCTGCAGCTCTGGCCCACAGCTGCTTTCGCAACGCTCTTTACGCGAAGGACATTGAGGCACGTTAAATGGTATCTGCTTCATATTTAACACCACATAAAAAACAACGCTTCGGTGTTGCATTTTTAACACATACATTAAGTATAAACTGCACAACACTACAAAAATTCAAATGTTAATTAAAATTTGTTATTAACGAACATTCAAAAAAAAAAACAACGATATGACATTCAAAGCGTAACGAAATATAGGAAATAAATGAAAAACAAGTTGAAGTTTAAAGGTTTGGTTCTCATGAGAGCAACGTCATTTTGGCTTCTACCTGTATTTATGTGCCTTGCCTGTGCCAATCAGGGCCTGTGCCAATCGGTAACTTTTTTCTCCGTGGTGAGACGGGTTGGAAAAAGTTGCTATGGTGTACGAATAAATTGAATTTTGCAGTGCCAAATGCAAAGTAAAATTTTGACAGTTGAAAAACCAAACAAACGCTCGTGCGAAAGCTCTATTTTTGTGTGTTGCTGAAATTCTTAAAATTTATATTTATTTTATAATTTGCAAGTAACGTAAGCTTTTTTATGCTGTTTCAGCTTTCATTTTTATGTTCACTCCTTATTACCGCCAAGCAATATTATGTGTATACATGGTTATAAGCTGTCAAAATTTTACCTACCTGAGCTAGGTAGAATTTTGACGTTCGTATTCACCACTAGAAGTGTCAAATTTTTACTTTGATCCGTCAACATTTTCTATTTTCTATCGATTGGCACAGGGCCTCAGTAGAAAAGTGGTGGAAAACTTTTTACTATGGTGAGAAAATTTTACATTTCTGCTGTGCCAATTCGTAACTTTTTACTGCTGGAAATTTTTGACAGTTGCTTTCATGCAGAAGAAGGCTATCGGGTTAGCAAGTAATAGAATGCAGCAATTATAGAGAAAATATTTGCCTTTGCTGATTTCAGTACTTCTGGTACTGAAATCCATATACTTATTATACCTTTTAGCAATAACCACTAATTTTTCTCTAAGATCCACTCGCTTTGGTTGTCTGTAATTTCTGCATGTAAAATTTTTACTAGCTAAATATAACAGCTGTCAAAATGAATAAATAGCCGTTGAAGCGTAAAGAAGCGAGGTTAGGTTGCTTTATTTGTTTCTTTCTTCAAATTTTTGGTATTTCTTAAATAAACATTTGTGAATCATTAAATATTGATGAAATTTTAAAATGCATTTGTGAATAGTTTTTATATCGAAAACGCGATTGAAAACTTACGTCAAATATTTTCAAATGTCAAATACACCGATCAGGTAGTTACTTGCTATTTTCTGTTAGTTTCGTTTCTTAACTATTTCTTTATATCGCCCGTAATTCTATCAATGATCCCATTCCTCTTTTACCTGATAATTATCGGCTAGAAAACTAAAGAAACAAAGCTAATGCTCGCTGCCAAATTTTTCACTAGCCCTGCCGGATAAACAATTTTTATTCACCTCATAGCTGTCAAAAATTTACTATCCAGAGTACTTTTCTATTAATTGGCACAGGCCCAAAGTTTCAAGGATAATCGTAACAATTGGTGTCAGAGTGGGATTGTTAAATAAATCCCGAAGGATAAACTACTGAAAATGGCGAAAATTCAGGATCTAAAGATTGAGGAACTCAAGCAGGAGTTGGAAAAACGAAATTTAACAACCTCCGGAAGACAATTGGAGCTACTATCACGGCTGCGAGAGGCTATGGAAAAGGAAGGTATCGACGTTGACAAATACGACTTTCAGGGTAAACCCGACGATGCATCCGCTAAGGACGAACAGAAGGATGAGGCTGCTTGTTCGTCGAAGGATGTGCAGCAGACATCCGGGAAGGTTGAAGAACAGCTAAAGGCTCTTAGTTCATCAACAGCTATAGGCATGATCACGTTATTGGCTGCCATGTCCCAGATGTCTTCACAGCTGTCGTCACAGATGTCATCACAGCCGTCGTCACAGATGCAAGCACAGGATACATGCATGTCCCAGATGTCATCACAGCTGTCGTCACAGATGCAAGCGCTGGAGACACGTATATCTGCAGAGGTATCAGCGCAGGTGTCATCGCAGGTGTCATCCTGGTTAGAAACTCAGCTACAGGCACAGGAGGCACGCATATCATCACAGCTGGAAGCACAGGATGAAAAAATTACACAAATACTGGACAAACTTGAAGAGAGACAGGAGAAAGTCAAAGCAAAGGTAGAAGAATTGGAAAGTCGTCTTCGTGATTTACAGATGAATCATCCAGCTACTTCGACGAACGCTCCCAAGGTAAAAACCCCATCCTTTGGCGGCACAATTCCTTTCCAGGTCTTTAAGCTCCAGTTCGAAAAGACGGCTACAGCAAATCGTTGGAGCATGGAGGATAAATCCGCTGCGTTATTCGTCGCATTGAAAGGGCCTGCAGCGGAAATCTTGCAGACTATTCCCGACTGTGAAAGGAACAATTACGATGCGTTAATGGGTGCAGTGGAAAGACGTTATGCTAGCGAGCACAGGAGACAGATTTATCAGATGGAGCTGGAGAATCGCTACCAGAAATCCAACGAGACTTTACAGAAATTCGCCTCTTAAATTGAAAGGTTGGCTCATTTGGCAATTGGAGACGCATCTGGTAAGCACCTTAAAAGGGTAAAAATCCAGAGGTTCATCAACGGAATGCGAGACATGTATACCAAGCGAGAAACGTACGCGAATCCAAAGGCAACATTTGCTGAAACCATCTCGTATGCACAGATACGTGAAACGGCAGCACTCCTAAGTAAACCAGCCTACAAACCCCATCGAGTGGAAGTGGAAAC